TGTGGCCATTAGTAGTATTTAAATCCGATGGTGATAATCCATCAGGTTGAATACCATGTTCTAAACAAAATAATTCCCAACAAGCATTTCCCATTTGTACACCGGCTTGACCGATGTGAATTGAAATACATTCGCGCATTATATCTTGTTTTTCTTTTTCGCTTATCACACAAATTAGTATTGTGTATCGTTGTTAGTATCTTATATATAGTAAGAGGGAGCACACGATAAAAAAAATTTTTTTTTTTTTTTGATGACTCATGACATACAAAACAAAAGAATAGAAAAGAAGAAAAAAAGCTTTATCTAAGATCGAATCTTGTTGGGTGTGAGTTGCATTTGCACGTCTATCATAGTGTACGATAGGATGACTCATTTGCTAAGTATTTGAGATGATTCATTAGATAATAAAAATCAAGTTCATCGTATTGCAACAGAATTCTTCAATTTCATGGAGAATAATTCGTTTCGTGTTGTTATATGTAATCGGTACCAATAAAATCATTGCTTAAACAGATTGAGTCATCGCTATGACGCATACATTTCGAAATAAACAGCAATGTAAAAAAAAATCGATACTCAAAAACACGATCAGGATATGAGAATTTTTTATATTCATAAACAACTAGTTAAATATGTTAGATCAATCGTTTTAATTATTTCAATATTTGCTATCACTATGACAGATAACTATCCGTTAGTTGTTCTTTTCTTTGTATAAAAATTAATAGCTTTGTCTACGCACTATTCATTAGTCAGTAATTTTCTGATTCATGTCCTCTTTATTTTTGTGTACATATTACGCCTTTTTCAATCGATTGTGAAATAATAAGCGATAAATATAAACTTGCTATTATAGTTAGGTCGTAGTAAATCGGCAATTATTGTGAATTTCGAATTATAAAATTATCCAGTAGCGAATCTAAGATTTTGGAAAATAGGAGAAATCACAGTCATAAAATGTGTTCTGAAGACCATCAGAGATTGTATTAGATCATTTTTGGACATTTTCTACTGAGAATAATCGAAAAATATTCCAGAAGGAAGAACCGATCGCTTAGTGTCCTCCCTAAATGTGTCACTGTAATAATCAATAAATGATTTCTACACTTCACATCTCGATATGATCTTTCTTGTTAAAATGTTGATTTTAACAATGTGTATCTCTTTTTTTTCTTCTTTTGTGTGATTGTTATACAGAAATATGTTTGTAGTGATAAACGGTGTCCCATGATAACTGACGATAAGGTGTCAATGACATTTTTTATACCCTTTTCTTGACGTAGAAGGCTAAAATTTTTATCACAAACATATCTAAGCAAATTTTTTGATTTTCCAAAGTTTCAACTTTCCAATTAAAATTAGTACTGAAATGAATGAGCGTGATTGCCATACATGGTTATTTTGTGATTTTTTTCAACACTGGGACAGAATGGCGAAGTATTATTTAAGACTGCATTTATATCTAGAATTTTTCAGATTTTATTTTAAATATTCATCAATTAAGAAAATGGAAAAGATTTTTTTTTAATGATTTTGTATTGAATCTCGAACGTCACAGGACAACGTGAAGTATTAGTTTCACGGTTTATAGTATAATTATTTGATAAGCATACAGAATCAATATGAAACAGTGCTTTATTTAATAATGTAGGACAATAATTGAAACTGTGTAGTGTATATTAAAAGAGAATGTTCGTGAAAAGTGTTTGACACATTGTTACAATTAATAAAAGAATTTGCAAAATAATCGATGAAATTTTCAAAAGAAAAATGTGAAAAAAATGATCGATGAAATATCATATTAATTACAACTGATCATAGAAAACAATAGAGAACATATTTATACGCATTGAGTTTTATGATGATTTACATATTTGGAAAAAATTGTCTTATAAAGTTTCTTTGTATGAAGAATTTATAAATATAACTAATCAAAAAATAAGAATATTACAAAAATCAACTAGGAAAATTCATGTATTTCAATTTTATCCATTCGTTTCAATACTAGTTTTAGCTAGAAAGTTGAAAATTTGAAAAATTAAAAGTCTTGGTAAAATATATTTGTGATAAAAATTTCAGTCTTCTACATGAAGAAAATATATTATGAAACAAAGTACAAAGCCTTTTATTTGTTTACATTTATTGGAATAGATGTTCAGTATGTGATCCATTAGCATAGTAAATTAATCTACAACGTGTTCTCGATTATGTCTTACTCAAGATTTTCCCATTCTTTCTTAATTTCTTTACGTATTAGAACTTGTGATAAATAGTTCCATTTTATGTTTGACACGGCATTTCAGAAAAAAATCAGATGAATGAATTTTGATTTGAAATTTCGCCTATAAATAGATCTAATAAGTCGTGGAATATTCCTAAAGTTTCAGTACAAATGGATGCTTCCTTAGCGAGATATTCCGTTTTTAATATATCTCGACTTTAGAATATCCTCTCAAAATCCAGATGTTTATTGAAATTTTAGCAGCTCCCTATTGGAGCATCTATTTTGAGTGAAACGTTAGGAATATTCTACGAATCATTAGACCTATTTATAGACGAAATTTCAGATCAAAATTCATTCATCTGATTTTTTTCTACAATGCTGTGTCTTTGACCGAACACCCAGGTAAGCACTTAGTATTTTTTTATGTAATAATAAATTGGTAATTTCTTTGATGATAGGAAGATAGGAATATTGATGATTGGTGAAATTTTATATGAGTCAATTCATTTTTTTTTACAATGAATGAATTTGTATCTTTTTCCGATGATGGGAAGGTGGGGACTTTGATGATTGGTTAATTTTATTATGAGTCAATAATATTTTATCTACAGTATCTGTATGCCTTGTTTTGATGAAAATGGATTGACGTGAGATGATTATCTAAAAGAATCCAATGTTTCTCGAGCAAGTGATGGGAATGGGTTGAGAGGCACTTCTTCAGAATACACACATCCCTTCTCCCCCATTCGTTGTCGTGCCAGTTAATGTGTGCATAGGGTGTGTATTCTTGAAGAAGAACCGGTTGAGATGGAGTGACTGTCTAAAAGAGAGGAAATTTTCTACGACATGCTGCAACTTGTCTGATAAACATAGTATATGTCTTCGTATAAAAGAACAGGTTTAACTTCTTTAAAATCACATAAAAGTTGATGACCAGCGATAAGACGAAGCGTGAACGTTTGTTTGCATCGGTGAGAGAAATGGCCGAAAACCTTTTCAGTAGATAGCTTATTCTGGAGTACATTGATTATTTTTTTGCTTTGAATACAAGTGACAACAGCATTATTACGAAATTTAGGATTTAACGTATCAATATGTTTTTTAGCAAGTTCATAAAATTTTTCACGTGCAAAATCATTGATAATAGAATGAGAATAAGTAGGTTGTTGTAATATCATTGTTGATATTGCAAAAGAAAATATCGAAAACTATTTAACACGCAACGAACTTTGTTTATGAAAATGAGAGAAATTGGTAGTTAGATGATATAAAATAATCATGAACAGAGAATGAATTCTGTCTAGTTAAAATTGAACTTGATAGAAGCACCCGAAAAACCCAATTTTGTCTGTGACATATGTACAGGATTGTCAATTATTCTGATTTAGTTAGAAGATTTGTGATTTTTAGCATTTTGTCACTCTAATTTTTGTTAACATTTTAAATCGATAAAGTATGAAAAAAAAAGAGGACTACTTCATTATTTGATGGGCACAATAACAGAGAAAAACACATTGACTCTACTCGAGTTAGTTACATAATCAGAAGAAAATTGTGAATAGAAGTGGGAATACAGTCCTCTTGCTATGTTTTTAGTGAATCTTTTCAAGGAGAGATGAAGTTTTTACTATCTCCTATCTGGTTATGTCGCTAACTCAGGTCAGAGATGTTTTAAAAATACTATCGCAACTGCATGGATTTGAGTGTCTACAAGTTCAACAGTCAAAATCGTGGTGAATCTGATAGATTCAATCTAACTGTGCTAATTTAGCACAGTGACGGAAGAAATTTTCGAAGAATTTCCTGAAAACCATCGGGGCAGCGACAGATTTTCAATCACGATGGATATCTTTGGCTCGAATTCTCGAAAAATAAGATTATCAATTTCATTAGCACATTCTATGCTAAAATCGTGTGTAATTGTAAATAAAAAAAAAAGAAAGAACCTACTCTGTATTTATTCAATGTTTTCGTTGCAAGAAGATGAAATTAAGTCTTTCGTTAAAATTTTTACTCTAACCAGTAAAAACGTTAATTCTGTATCATCGTAGAAGAACTCAAAACCGATTAAATGCTCTATCATCAACAATTACAATATACTAAACATAACGGCTAATTGAATTTGATATTTTCTTCATTTTTCAACGAATTTGAAAATGATTCAACAAAAGAATTATGCTCTATTTGTAATGCACAATGGTCAATTCAAAATAATAGAATCACTGAGATATATACTAAATTAAAAACAAACAATTTAGATGAATTGAAACAAATTCGCTCATCAAAAAACAAAAAATATAGTCATGTTGCTTAGGTGCTACAGTCGACATAATCGACAATTTTAGTTGTTCATTTTCTTTTGTTGCACGTCAATTTCTAAACTAATTTATTTTCTATTATTTTCCTTATATATGTGAATGGAAGAATCTAAGATGACTAATAATATAAAAAACATGCTAGAATAAAATAATCTATCTTGAATTCTACCCTTTATTTCAATCATTTCATTTAAAAATAGTTAGCCAATGAATCAACCATCGTCTTTTCTTCGCATTCAGATTCTCAAATCGAACGGTAAATTCATATATATATGTCTATCGTCAACTTTGTTGATATGCAGGTGTATGTACACTTCCCTCCTTACATGTATTACTCTTTATCCAATGAAGCAAAGCAAGAAAAAGAAACGAAAAAAAAAAAACATCCGTCGATTTTTCTGTTCTTATAATTTCTTGAATATATCGATCGTTATTTCTTTTTCAGTGTTTAAACAATGTTGATCGAAGTAAGTACTAAAATATTATTCATCACAGGTGTATTATTATTGGTTGGGATTATATATACAAATGCATCAAGACACACACAAGATAAAACAGAAAAATTAATACAATCTATTTGTGAAAAATTATATGATGATGATTTATATTCAGAAGAGAATCAACAATGGTCAATTTTTTGTGAAAAATGGATTAAATCAATGAATCATCAACAACATAATGATATAGAAAATGAAAATGTGATAGATGGTAAGCATATAGAATAGGTCAATTGAATTGTCTGTTGAACATGTCAAGAGGTACGGTCAGAATGTCTAATATAAATAATGATTGACAATAGTAGTAACCGAAGGACATCTGTATTTGAGAATAAAGTCGCTGATTTATCGTATAGAAGAAATTGACTTTAATTTTTTTTTGTTTTAGAATCATTGATGAAAGAAAATTATCTACCACGGAAGTTTAGTTTCAGATCTGGATTTCGTAGTGGTGGTAGTAGTTCTCGTGTATCATCCCGTATTAGTCGAAGCAGTAGTAGTGGAAGCAGCAATATTCGTACTAGTGGAAGCAGCAATATTCGTACTAGTGGAAGTCGAATATCTTCCATTGCTACTCGATTTCGTAATACGCGTACCGGTGCAACCATTTCTCGTCCAACTGGTTGGTTATGGAGTCGAACTCGACATGTTTTTCTTCCAGTATCTCAACATTATTATTATCGATCTCATTCTTCGAATAATCGATATACAACACCACCTACTGGAAATGTAACTTATTATTATTATTGTACATCGAATACGAGTTCTTCAATGGAAATTCAATGTAGTTCTATTAATGATGATGGACAATGTTGTGAAGATGAAACGATTTCACAAGTTTTTTGTTGTGGTGGTAAAATTGATGATTATCTTATAGAAGATTTTAATCAAGCAACAAAAACAATAGCACGAATCTTCTATACTCTAACAGCAATAACATTATTTATACATATATTTATGAGACGATTTTATTGATAATTATTTTTTAACTGTCGGCTTTTTTTTTCATATAAGAGTTCTTACTATGATTCACTATTTCAATAATAAGGAGTAGAATTCAAACATTTCATTACATAAATTCTAAGATAAAGATGCAATAACAACATTTTTTTCTCACAATAGAAGTTTCACGTACTGTTTATTTTAAAGTAATGAATCAACAGAAGACTTTTAAATAGATATGAATAAGACTATTTGTTGAATGATTCATAATTTCTTGTCCGTCTATGTGATAAGATGCATAATTCAATCTAAGTCATGTAATATACAACGTAATTCAGCCAAATTAAATTAAATGAAAATTTTAATTTTAATCAAAAAACAAAAAAAAAAAGAAAAGTTTTACAGCAGAATTGATTGATACAAGAAAATTGAATATTGATTTTAATTTAAAAACTGATATGATGGATTCTTGTTAGTTAATATTTTATGAGCAATAAAACTACGACAACTATAATTCAATTTTTGTCCTAATCGAAGACAAAGTCATCAATCATTTTCAATACACAAGAGTATCCAAACTATTAAACATATTACAATTAATTGGATAAATGATCCAAAAACGACTCATAAACAAGGAAGAAGCAGTAGATGTTAATCAGAATTAACTACCGTTTTACACCATATTTTTTGACGATTATATATAAAAATTGCAAATTTATTGCAAGAATGATTCTCTTTTTCTCGCCTCATTTGATTTACGTATAGATGACAAATATAATTCGAATAAGGATAGTTTCTTATCGACTAATTGAAAAATATACCTTTCAGAACGTACTTAGGGCGTACCAAAAGTTCGTGGCCCGATGTTTAAAATTTTAGAAAACAGTAAATATTGAATATTTTATTATGGGAATATATAGTATCATGTCTCGTCTTTAATAATCTATAGAGCTGCTCTATCTTGGATTTAGTTCTAGCATTCTGCTAGATAAAAGATGCAGTGCTTACAG